GAAATACCCTATTACCAATTTACCCGTTTTTATATTCTCCCACTAATCTCGATTTTAAGGACACACCACACCATTTTAAAAGCAGCTTATATAATCATTCTTCACAACATTTCTTTTCCTAATACCATGGCAATCTGGTTTTCACTTGAGAAATGAAACCAAAAAGTGTTAAAATCTATATATTGCTTATAAGAAATGTGTATTCCCCAAACTTTGAAATTCCCATAGTTAGAAAACTTTAATAACTACAAATATCCTTAATTTATTCAAATATTTACCAAGACCCTGCTATGTGCTTGCAAGGCACTGTTCTAGGCACTAAAGATAGAGCAATGAAGGAGATAAAAATCCTGACTTCACTGAGCTTCCACTCTGTGGGGGATCTCTCGGTATCCAGGATCTACTATGTGCTTGGGCATCATATCCACATATATAATTGGAAATATTCTACAAACTATTCATGCATGTCGCAACTTTAGCTTTCTCTTAAATATCCTGAACTGATTCTTGAAAATTACAATTGAGCTTGAGCCATAAAATAAAACTGTGTCCCCAACAATATCAATTTTGTCATAAGATTTTACCCTCTTGTATCCCAGTCCTCCAAAACTGCTTACTTTTTTGGGGGGAAGGGAGAAACATGTTAGGTATTTTAATTTTAAAGAGAAATACAATTGTGAATATAAAGAAGCATTATTTGGAGATACGCCCAAGATAATTCTACAAGATTAATAAACTAAAATGCTAAATAATTTCCATTTACACATTCATTAAATAAACATTTGTTTATCCCAGGAGCTCACTCTATGTGGGAGGGAAGGCAAAGACAGAAAATACACACATGCAAATAAGCAAAGAAGATTGTGTTTAGGTCATGATCTAGGAATAAAAGAAACTCAGAGATGTGATGACAACGTATAATTCAGACTCACATCAAAGTCTTTCTTGTAAGACTTCTTGACATTCATTTAGAAGATTCTAAGCATCAAAACCTATCAAACTTAACTCAATTTCACTTTAACAGAATTAAGAGCTAATCTGTGAAATCTCTAACAGAAAATAAAGGGCATCACCTATTTAGCAATACATTTGGGATAGGGTTTTTGACCATGCAATTTATTGCCCAAACTAAAATACTTTCAAGAGAGAAATGGGATGTTCTAATAATTATGCCAGATCATAGGCGCAAACAAGGACTTTTCTACTAGGGCAAACAAGGCCATATGGTCATCCTATTAGGCACCACAAATGTGACTAGCCCAAAATTTCAAGAGTATTTTAGAGTTTCAGGTGAATTTAAATTATAAGTAATATCCAAGTATAGGATTTAAGTTTTCATCTGGACCATATAAACCAAGTAAATCCCTTCCTAATTTAAAGAGTTAAATACCTCACACCATACACAAAATCAATTTCAGATGCATTATAGACCTAAATGTGAAAAGACAAAGCAAAACAGTTTTGAAAATACCATCAAAATAACTCCATGATCTTGGGGTAGAAAAAAAATCCCTAAAAAAAAAAAAAGAAGACAAGAAAAGAAACACTAGCCATAAAGATAAAGAGTGATAAACACCCTTACATCAAAATGAAGAACTTCTCTATTCACCAAAAGAAACTATTACATGAGAAAATTTACTTGCAGCAGATAGATCCAGCAAAAGATTCATAGTGAGAAGATCGAACTCTAGAAAAAGACACACATTTCAACAGGAAAAGGGGCAAAAGATTTCAAAGGCATTTCATGAAAGATGAAATCTAAATGACCAAGGTATGAGAAGATGTGCACCTCAATAGTAATAAGGGATAGTAAAACCAGGTGCAACTACCTGCCCACCAGATTGACTAGAATTAAAATATCTGATACTAAGCATTACTGTGGGTGAAGGATGCGGAACAATTAGAATTCTCACGTACTAATAACTGAAACAAAAACTAGTAAACAACTACTTTGGAAAACAACTTGACATTACCTTATAAAGACATACATTCTTCATGATCCTGCAATTAAAAGTATATATCCTCAAAAATTTACATAAATGTGCACCAGTGTACTTAAATACAATGTTCATAAAAGCACTGTTCTTAACAGCCAAAGCATGTAAGCAATTTAAACATAAAATGCAGAATATACAAAACAACTGCAGAATAGATAAACCTGTTATATTTATGATGGAACACTATGCTACGATGAAACCCAGAATGAAATACAGAGGTGTGAAAAAGTAGTTTACAGTTGTATGTGAAACACAAGTTTATTCTTGCATCATTATTCTTGTTATATATTTTCCATATGAATAACTGTAAACCTGCTTGTGCCCACCCCTTTATATACAAGATGATTCCATTTTCATAAAGTTAAAAAGTAGACAAAACTAAACTCTATTATTTAGGGATGTATACTTCAGTGATGAAACTATAAATGTCAGAATGATGTTTACATCTAGCCTAAAAGGGTAGTAGTCATGTGGGAAGATGCAGGGGGTGAGGTGATGGGCTTCTGGGATTCTGGCATTGTCTGTTTTGCCCTGGGTGGTATGTAGACGGATCTTTGTTTTAAAATATTTCATTTTTATCTGTTTCTTCTTTTTTTTAAAAATCCTCACCTGAAGATATGTTTTCATTGATTTTTAAAAAGACAATGGGAGGAGGAGGGAGGAAGGGGTGGGGGAGAGAGAAAAAACGAACAAACTGGTTGCCTCCCATTAGCCCCAAATGGGGCTCAAACCCACAACCTAGGTATCTCCTTACCAGAGATGCAACCCACACCCCCACAACCTTTTCGTGTAGGGAATGCCAATCTAATCAACTCAGCCACCTGGCCAAGGCTATGTATCTTCTCAATACCTGTGGTTATATTTTGCAATAAAAAAAGGAAAATACTCTCCTCAGAGAGGATTTAAAAAAATAGTAATATTCTAAAGAGAATTCTAAGAATGTTATTCAAAAGATCAACTCAATCTATACTTGAAGAAACTAATCAGGACCTCTAAATCCAAATACATACTGTATTCTAAATTCTATAAATAAACTTTGAGCTTCAGTATTAGAATGTCATTCTTCATCCAAATAAAGGGGGGATTTCAGTAATCAAATTACTCAAGAAGTCATGCAAATTCTAAAATCTAAATACCAAACACCCCACTTCTATTTTTGAAATCTGAAGTGTCCAGTGTTCACTGGAGAGTTTTAAAGCAGTTTTAGATTAGACACTGCTAAGTAGAACAATACATATGCCAAGATTTGATAACTTTAATTTTTTGCAAACATAAGTCCCCAAACACATTAAATAACTCATACTAATGTTCAAAAAGTGTATGTTATGTATTTGGGATTAAATATTAAAGCCATATAAATTAAATAAAAATATTTTATTGCTGTCCTTCTATCACATATTTAAAATCTAAGTCATAACAAGATAAAAATTATGTTTGGCAGCATATGAATTTAACTATTACAGATTAATAAAATGTCTATTGACTCTAGAAGCTGTTTAAAAGAAAATTTTTAAAAAATGTGGGCCATTAACAAGATATAGACGCTTTAGTTTCTTGCATAGAAGAGTATATTCCTAGATTTTTAATAGACTGGAGTCAATACATGAGAAATCTTTAAAATGTATATATTTTTTTCTTTGAGAGAAGGTGACAGCAATTAACTGAGAAGTCACTAAACTAACAAGATACCTTAAAATTCAGATTAGGTGAAACAGTGGTTTTTAGAAAGTTATTAAACCACTTTACTAAGGAAAAGTGTTTTCAATCTGTATGTGACTCTCACCAAGAACTTCAGAGAACCTTTTTAATAATTTCATAGTTATTAAAACTAAAACATTATATGGCTAAATATCCATTTGGAAACAAAACAGAAAAGAAAACTAAGTCAAATTTGTCTCAACAGACGTGCTATTGAAAAAGATCTACCAGAGCACCCCCAAAATGTCACTAAATACTTGCTTTATACTGTGAAATGAGTCTCTTACCAGTTAAATTTTTTTTAACAGAATTAGAAAATTCCTTCCTCGCTCTGGACTTCTGTCCCTATCAAGCTACTTATTCCATAAGTCTACCAGATATGCTGAGAAAATTATCTTAGTTAGCGTGCTTCCCTCTCACAATTACGCCAAACTTGGGAGAATTCTTTCAAGCGCAGGAGCTAAAAAGTTTATTTACGCTTGGTTTCCTGGCGGAAGGAAGGCCCAGCGCGTGCGGGAAGGAAACGAAACCCATATACAGACTATGGCGATGCTAAACACTATATAGTACGACATCTTCCTTCTCAACACCTAGAACTCCCTGTCCCAGGGAGCCTTCACAAGGGCCAGTCAGCGCCCACGGACCACTCAGTTCTGCCTCTGGAACAAGGGTCCTGGTTCAAGCCTGACCCCTCCTCCCCACCGGGTTTCCAGAAACAAGGCTGACGCGAGTACAGCAAGCATTTTTAAAGAGATGGTTGAACAGGCTTTGAGAAAGATTCGGCTTGAACAGGTAAATACCACATAGGAGACAAGAGGGATGTAATGTGCATCGCAGAGCAAATCCAAAGTTTTAGCACATTACTTACAGTTCACCTGAGGAATATCACAACAAACTGAAATTAAGAACGTGAGAAAATGGAGCTGCAGAATCAAGAAATCGGCATTAAACTCAACCGAAGCGGAAAAATTCTTTGACTACTCAAGCTTTGTTTTGTGGTGAGACGACAGACCACCGAATTTCAGAGTTGGAAGACACGTCTCTCCGCGTTCTCCGGCCGGTTCTGGGACTTCAGGGTCGCCCCGCCCGCCCAGCTCTCGGTGGTGTAGTTCCCGGATGGAAGGCGCGGACCTCGGCAGTGGAAGCCAGGGAGAGCCCTGGGGGAGGCCGCGGCCCGGCCCACGAAGCTAGGGCCGGGAGGGAGGGAAAGGAGCGGCCTCAGAGGAGACGGAGGGAACAGGGAGGGAGCGAGGAGGCTGCAAGCCGAGAGCAGAGCGCACACACCAACATCCCACCCCGGAGTACCTTTGGCGAGGGCTACGGTGGAGTTCTCCGTGTCGATGGTGTAGAGGATGCCCTCGTAGCGGATCTCCGCCTTAGAGATAAGGCTGATCTTGCTGCCGATATAAGGGGTGCCCCCACTCATGGCGCCGCCGCCGCTCTGGGCTGCTCGCAGAGAGGCAGAACCACGCCGCGGTCCCGGGTCCGCACGCCCGCTCGCTCCGTCAGTGCCTACAGCAGCCGCCTCAGACCCAACATGGCGGCAGCGCCGGCTCCGCTACCCTCCCCCAGCCTTCCGCCCTCAAGCCGCGTCGCGGCGGCGGCGGCGGCGGCAGCGGTGACGGCGCGGGGTATGCTGGGCCAGGGAGGCCGCGCTCTCGCGAGACTCGGCCGGCTGCGGGTGGCTCCGCCGTTCTCCATCGACTAGTTAGTCTGTCGGGCGCCGTTTGGCCTGGTCTGGCGCGTCCCTGCTTGAGCCGGCTAAGAAGAGTTTAAGGAGAGGCGAATTGCTTCGTGGCGCCCCGACACTGTAGATGCGCGCGGCCCTGTTGACCTCAGCTGTGGCCTTCACCATTTCCATACCCGTCGGGTAGAGTCCATACCCGTCGTATTTTGTCCTGAGTCCTATGTCTTTGCAAACGCTGATCCCTCTGCCTGACCCGCCTCCAGACTGACGATTTCGTGTAAGACCCGGTCCTTTACCCATTGAGGCAACTGTGCACCTTACAGAGGTTCATAACTCCATTATAGCATCCACTGGCCAACGAGCTTCCGTCTGGTCCCCCGCCCCGGGTTGCTGGAGCAGGGACTCTAACACTTTTGAGACGGTCCCATTCGGGCCCACAGCTTTCAAAGTCATTAGTCACATACCAATCCTGAGTATTTACTCTGTGAATTCTGGACTTATATGAACAATAGACTCAAACTCTCTAGTTGGATGTTTAGTTGGCAACTTTGTGTGTCCAAAGCCCTAATCCTGATTTCCTGTCTAAACCTAACCTTTCACCATGGTTCTCCGTTGAGGTGTGAAAATGATTAAAGGAAAACCTCATTAAAAATGGAGTGGGGAAGCCCTGCACGGGAAATTTCTGGAAGGTACCACCCATCACAGTTTACCTTACAAATCTGGGCATGAAGAAGCTTGTTTTACTACCCGAAGGAGGAAGGAAGGTTTTTCTCCTTGTCCAGTAACAGCCTAGCAAATGAGAAACCACCACACTCAGCAGCTGAGAAGCTCCCACCATCCTGAACTTCCACTCTTGTCTAATGGAATTTTGCTTTTTAACTGCCCGCCTGAATCTAACCGCTTCTTAGCCATTTCCACCGCTACTATTCTGTAAAATGCTACCATTATTTTGGTCAGGATTATTGCAATGGCCTAAAAGTTCCCTCAGTTTCTGCCCTTGCCCCCAATAGTTTATTCTCAACATAGCAGGCAGAAGGATATTGTGAAAATCTAAGTCAGATTATATTCCCTCCTCCACACAATGCTCCTCTACCCAATAATCCCATGTCACACAGAGTGAAAAGCCAGACTCCTTACTCTGTCTTCTAAAGGCATGCATGATTTAGCCCCTGGTTACCCTACTTTCCCATTTTGTTTCAGCCACCCCTTCTTTACCCAGAGCTTTCACAATTCATTCACATCTCTGCTCAAATGTCTTCTCCAGGGATGACTTTCTCTACTGTCCTACTTTAAATAAGAACACCTGCATCACTCTGCATGTTCTTACTCTGCTGCTTGCTTTTTCTTCAAAGCATTTCTCTCTCCCCAATATGTCTACTTAATTATTTCTGTGTATCTGTTTTCTTCACTGGAATGTAAATGTTTTGAGGGAAGGACTTTGTTTTGGTCACTGCTGGATGATCAGGACCAAGTCCAGTCCCTGGCACAGGGAAGCATCTGGGTAAATGGCTGTATGAGTGAACAGTTAGAGGAAGGCAGAGCATAGGCAGGATGTCTGGTGAGCTGAGTGAACAAATGGTGAAAAGCCTGGCAACACTATGATGGAGAAGCAGAAGAGAAAGGAAAGCAATAGAGGCTGTGCTAGAGCTGATACACAGTGACTTTAAAGGAAGGCTGTGAAATATGAGCTTAAGTGCAAGGTTGCAGCCAGGGAGTTGAACTCTTATTTCTGTTCCTTCCACCCCCTTCCCAGCCTGGAACCTAGCTTACCTTCTCATGCTTGCCAAGTGAGCTCATTTTTCCTCCATCTATTGAAATAAGCTGACAGTTTCTAAATTTACATCTCCATTCCAGATCTCCTGACTTCCAGAGTCACATAAACTACATATTTACCAGATGCAATTGTTTGGGTGTCCCACTAGCAGTTCCAGCTTCACATTTTAAAAATTATCTATATCTATCTTTCCTCCTTTTCCAAAACAAACATGTTCTTTAAAAAAAAAGTAATTATACCTTATTAATTGTGCTTTTAGAGTTGTCCTGATTTTCCCCTTTACCGTACTCCTCTCAGGGTCCCCTCCTTCCTCAGGCAATCCTCCTACCATTGTTCATGTCCATGGGTCACGTGTATAAGTTCTTTGACTACTCCATTTCCTATACTGTACTTTATAACCCCATGGCTATTCTGTAACTAGCTATCTATACTTCTTAATCTCCTCTTCTTCACCCATTCTCTCCCTCTCTCCTCCCATCTGGCAATCATCTGGTAACTAACTTCTTTTCTCTTCCTACTTTTAGAGTCTCTATTTATCTTTAACCTTTGGCCTTTTAATTATGTGTCTTGGAGTGAGCCTCTTTGCATCCATCATAACTGGGACTCTCTGTGCTTCCTGGACTTGCAATCTATTTCCTTCACCAAATCATGGATGTTTTCTTTCACTATTTTTTCAGATAGGTTCCCAATTTATTTGCTCTTTCTCTCCTGTTTCTGGCACCCCTATAATGCAAACGCTGGACTCCTTAAAGTTGTCCCAGAGTCTGTTTATACTATTTTCATTTTTTAAAATTCTTTTTTCATCTTGTTCTGTGTGGTTGTTTTTTCCTTCCTTATTTTTCAAATCATTGATTTGATTCTCAGTTTCAAACATTCTACTGTTGTTTCCCTGTAAATTGTTCTTTATTTCAATTATTATATCCTTCAGTTCTGACTGGGTCTTTTTTTATGCTGCTGAGGTCTTCACTGAGTTGAGCATCCTTATAAACTGCTTTGAACTCTGCATCTGATAGATTGCTTATCTCCATTTCATTTAGCTCTTTTTCTGGAGTTTTGATCTGTTCTTTCATTTGGGCCCTGTTTCTTTGTCTCCTCGTTTTGGCAGCCTCCCTGTGTTTGTTTCTATGTATTAGGTAGAGCTGCTTTGACTCCATATCTTGCAGCGTGGCCTAAAGTAGTAGGTGTCCTGTAGGGTCCAGTGGCACAGCCTTTCCTATCACCCAAGCAGGGTATTTGAGGTGTGGTTTCCATGTCGGCTGAATACACCCCCTTTTGTAGTTGAAACTTGGTTGCTGTTGCCAAATCAATGGGAGAGATTTACCCAGGCCAGCCAGCTGCAAGGACTGGCTGTGACCACTGACCACTAACCTCTGCCATCCATGGAGGATCAGCTGTGCAGGGGCACAGTGGTGGTGCTCTGACGTGGTCTATAGCTGTCCACTGGGTGCAATGGCCCTGGCGTCATTTTCCTGGGTGGTGCAGGCCAAGGTCAGTCCCTATCTGTGTTTTGCCAGGGGCACCCTGTTTGAGCTGGAAAGCAATCTGAGATGGCTGCTACTCATGCTGGACATGGAGATTCCCAGGTGAAGCCAAGCTGTGATTCTAATCTAGCTGCTGCTGGAGATCACTGAAGCCAGCTATTGCTTGTTTGGTAGGATTTAGGGGCCAAGACCAGCCATTCTTCTGGAAAAGCAGCTTGGGTGGGCCCATAAATTGGGTTGGGTAGAGCCTCTGTGAATGTCCAGGGTGGGTCACACAGTGTTAGCCAGGTTGATGGAGTCTCAGATAGGGCATTAAGGCACTAACCTACTGGTTCTGTGCGGGAGGGCTCAACAAAAGGACCATGGACTATGTTTGTAACAGAGTGCAGCCAGGGGCCCTCCAAAGAAGGATTTGTAATGTGGGTCCAGAACTCAGGGTGTTCAAGAAATATTAAAAATATGGGATGTCCTCACCCCCTGTAGGTCTGAACTGGGGGGGGTGTGTGGGACACATGGAACAGAGCTATTGAGAGTTTTGCATAGCAACAGTTTTGCAAATAACCTTGGGCATGGTCACTTAACATGTCTATAAGTTTTAACTGGTTTCATGGATATATTAAATAGTTGTGGCCACGCTTTGAGCCAGGGGGATGGGAGTGACATCCACCCAGGATGTAACCGGAGGGCAACTCCCCCTGGTTACAGCACCTGCATGAGAGCTTGGAGATGACTGGCTTTATACCACAAGGCCACACCTGCCCAGACTTATTATGGCAGCCCAGAAAAGCTGGAAAAATATGGGAATGCTGGTAAGTATAGCTGATTGTGGGAGGAGTCAGAAATGGGGCTGCAGAGGAAGATTGGCACTGGGATTTAAAAACCTGGGCGTGGCAGCTATGCAGGATGTTTGGGACCATGCGACATGGGTGAGAGTTGGGACCAGGTGGCTTTGGGGTGCTCCCTCTTGCCACGTGGCTTAGGAAGCTGGAGAGACCTTGCTGGGAAGGAAAGGGGTGAAAGGACATCTTGCTGGTCTGCCATGAGAAGGTGCCATATGGTTTAAGATTAACTGGAGATCACAGTGTCGACACAGCTGATGGTGCTGGGAACCAAGAAACCACCTGAGCCACGGACATCTACTTCTTTTCCTGAGATATGGTACCCTGGACTGGGCAGAGGGAGAAGGAAGGACTGTGTGCATTTGTGGGTAAAGTACTTTAGTGTTTTAATGAAAACAAGTTATTACTCTAAGTCTGTATGACTTTTTAAATAAATAATTCCCTCCCTTTTCACCAATCCCTGGCACTGAGAAACATCTTTCCCTTGCGGTGGGCAAGGTGAACCTAGTATGGGCGGGGGAACCCTGGGAACACAAGAGGGGGGGTCTATTCGGTAATACTATATCATTCACCACCACCTCGTCCCCGGTCCAGACACTTCAGTCTCTCCCTATATACCAGTGGAGCCCTTCAAGCTGTTACTGCAGTGCTGGAGCTCAGAGGGAATGAGTCTGAGTAGGTGAGTTCGTGTGTGCGTTCTTTATGAGGAACTGCTTGGGGCTCCAGCAGTGTCTTCCACCAACTCAATCCCTGCTGTTTCTGCAGCCAGAAGTTGTGGGAACTTATTTTCCTGGCTCTGGAATCCTGGGTTGGTGAACCTGGTGTGGGTCTGGGACTCC